CAGATATGACCTCACGATCACAAATGCAGACAAACAAAGCAGAGGATTTGAGAGGATGGTATAGGAAATAAATTCCCACGGAAAGGAGAGCGAAAAAATGGGTGGCTCAAATTCGAAAGCCGCGCCCATGTGGATCTTTTGCGAAGAATCGGGTGACTCAAATTCGAAAGCCGCGCCGTTGTACCACTTTAACGATTGTCGAAACCGCAAAAGGAAGGATAAGATATGATCTTTACGTCCACTAATACGTTCACAAAGCGGGAGAATATATGAATCGCGCTAATCAATATCAAAGTATCGCTAACGCAGATTCCCGTCCTAAGAACTATGCCAAACTGGGTTGGAATATAGACACGGCACGTTCATACCTTGCTGAAGAAACAATCGCCTTCGGATGACTGCAATCATGCATGCAATGGACTGCACCATCCGTTGAATTCCCAGTCGATGGCCCCGCTGTATGGAATAATATTTGAAGATTGAAGTGGACTTAACATGTTTTGGCATCTGTTCGTGGGGAACTGCACCACATTTAAGCAGTCATTTTATGACTATATCCTGTTATAAACTTGCCAAATATAAACATGGTGCAACAATACAGTCAAACTAAGCCTTATCGACCACTCTCATAATTATTTATGCTGATTAGTGTCGTTCCGAAATGGCAACAGGTTTGGAGCTATATTTATTCAAATTAGAAAGCATAACCCATGAAGACCAATGTAGTCAGCTTGACGTTTTCATTATAAATAGCAAGAACCAATTAATTTTTTCCACAAAAACATCATAATTTCAAGTAAGAGAAAATAATCTATTATGTAACAATTTTGAAAATTGCATAAGTATTCAGGAAGTTTTCATGTTAAACATATAAAACACGACTAGTAGTCAGAGGCAGTAAACACCATTAAGAATCTTAATCCTATCCAAATGGTTGTCGGCTCACCTTGAGTTATAACTGTGCGAGAATGAACCTATTGTTAGGTCAAGGGAATATTTACCCTTCCTGGAATTATGCGCAAGGCCACCTTTGTTACTTACGTGGGTGTTTTTACTTCCCCATCCTGTTGAGTAGGCCATTTAAGTAATCTTCACCTTGTTTTTAAATGGCACTGGATGCAGCGTGCGAGAACCAACTTACCGGGCGCCTGAACTTCATTAGCCACCACTAAATTCGTCTACTTAATCACATTATTACGGTGTATTGCCAATACACGCGGAAACTCACGACAAGGAAATGTCTAATCTTCATACTGAAGTAGATTTATGCGTCCAAAGTACGAGACAGATAGAAGAAAAGGAGTTAGATAGTGAAGTCAGATGTATTCGGGAGTGAATACTGAAATGTGGAACACCCAGAAAACGAAGATCAGATTTATGAGATAAGAAGTAACAGACTGTCAAACGCCTGCTGTAGTCTATCCATGAAAGCTTGTAAGACGGGTTCCTTGATCTCCCTTGGCGGTGAGCTCACGCATAGAATAAACTCGTCGGAGTCGGGACAGGAGTAAGAGATGGTGTAGGGAATATTCTGGTAGGGGGGTAGGCCAATCAGCCAGGCGGTCTACAAATCCCACGTGTAAGGCAATAAGTCTAAGAATGAAGACAGTTGCGTAACATTTAATGCATTCACGAATAACACGGAAAACAGGGGAGCTCTCACGGCAAGCAAGCGAGTATTTCTGGGTAGAGTCGACCGCCAGTTTTCCGAATTAAGGTTGACTGCCTTACCGCTCACATACCGATACATCCTTGATAACTTAGCACTTTACGAATATCCACTTATCGCTCACGAACTAACTGCAATGTAGTTTGAAGTAAATTTACCATTGAGTTGTAGGATAGCTCAGGCCATATTACGCTGGTTTCATAAATAAATTATACCACCATGTTGGTAACTCATAAAGAAGCACAACATTAGGATACTGCGTAGGTATGAGAAATGAGCTGTTGTCTGCGTTGGAAATCATTCCGCTATTTTTAATGTTGTACGTTCAGTAAATAGTTGCTGGGCCTTACACTCGCAGGCTTATTTAAATATTACCTGTTAAACTCTAGAACCCTACCCAATAGTCGAGGACTTGCTGATCTCAGCGCACACGCACAAGAGAAGTTTAATTCATGTGCATTTAGGAAAACTAGATATTACTTAATTATAAACGCAGTAGCACCTTGGTTTGCAAAGGTGGGCTCCAAATTTCTACAAAAACTGAAACTTAAACGGTTTTAGCTGGAGACAATTCTTCCGGTTACAGGATTTGTGCTTCATCTAACCACCCAAAGCAGTCCTCAAAAGCCCTATTATTCAACCTGGCGAAATTAAGCAGTTAATATCTAAGAGTCTTCAAAGTGTCCGTCTCATGTACAGATAAAGCATGCCGCTCTGGCGTCTAAAAATCGAATAGACGAGACTCAAAAGCTCAACTGGACCATGACCCCCAAAATCAGCAACCCATCGGGAAAAAACCGTTTTGTATGAATCAGCGGTTGGGAATTTGAGATGCCCAAGCCACGGCTGTATCAGCCCGTACATGAAAGTACCGTTTTAGCGAAACTATGAACACGTTTATCCAGCCCATCGTGTCACCTAAAAGCACTCCAAATTACAAACTAACAGTGAATATTTCCGCTTACGTTCGTCAGCAAGGTCTCGGAGGCCTTCTATCACTGTTATCAAGATCCACGCAGAACTTATAAATGGATGAGGAATATGAACTAGGCTTAGCATTGTCTACTAATAAAAGAGTTCTTGGAAAACTGAAACGCCTAGCGAGAAGCAATGAAGACGGGAGGGAGGTAACCCGGAGCCCGAGCGTTCACGAATGCTCATGATATGATCGCCGTCATATGAGGATGCGATGATGGGGCAATTGCGCAACTCGGAGAACGCTTCAACTTTAAAAAAGGAGCTCAAACTCTAGATTGGGACAACGTACCTGTAGGATCACAAAACGCTGTTTGAATGACACCACTGTTGAAAAGAATTAGCTGACAAAATTGCAAAACATTCTTGCACATCGCGGAGACGGTAGTTTCTCCCTCGTTGTCAAGTTCCGATTTCTGTACTCAGCGTTTCAGCAATGGCTTTACATGCAATTGGTACAGCTGTGAACATCCCTGATCGGGCTGACCTCAATCACGTTCCTAATTAAACCACTCTACGCGTGAGTAGCTGTGACAGCGGACTTACAGAGCTTAAACTATTTTTCTAGCGACGGAGGCCAAGTACAGAATGTCCAAAGACCACTAGACGAACTGCGGCAGGCTACTTTTTCAGCTAGCACCTAATCCGATGCATCTCGATAGATGACGAAGCACACGTGCAAACCATCTTAGTCATACTTTTCGGATTGCCTGAGCTATTCTTGCAATGTTGTCGCAGACTGTGAAATTTAAGACGAAGTCGGTGTATTTCACTCGAAGGATCATCTGCGGGCAACGATGGATAAAAATCTCTAGTTTTAGCTCATGCGCCACAGTTTTCACAACCGTAAATGAGGACTTACCGGACGGATGCCTGACACACGTGGATCTGCGTAACGGTAGATATACCGCGTTAGTTACATACTGTGAGAAGCCTATGAACATCATGGGTTCGGTGGACGTCTTTCTTACTATTTGCGTTTGGTAGCACCCGGGTACTCAGGAATTCCAAACTACACAATTCCTCCAGTTGGTACTATTTAATTCCGCGAGATGTACTGTCAGAGATATAGCTCGAAATAACTTCGGTCTCTCCAGAGTCTATGGATTAAGGGACCCATTAAGCGAATTAATTGACATGTAGACTGGTTAACCGAGTTTGAACTTAGTCGGACGGTATCGTCGAAATTACTTAGCTGGCGTGCGGTAACAAATGCAAAACCGTCAAAAAGTGTAAGACCCCTCGGACCTTTTCAATTTATTGTGCAGACAAACAGGATGGGCAATAGACGGCAACACTATGGAAGGCAAGACCAAATATCGAGCGGTTTTGAGGCTTTCGTGGAACATAAATCTAAACGAGGTGGAGCTGTAGCAGGCAGCGATCGTGACGAATTTTGCCGACATACAGTCTAACGCTATTATCAGCCACAGACACTGAGGAAACGTGAAATGTGTAAAAGGCCTCAAGGACACAACTTTGAGGTTTTTTCTTCTGTTCTTATCTTCCATCGGTCTCACTGGGTGTGTGAAGAAGGCAGGAGATCCAACAAGAGCCACCGGTGAACAGTTCATAGACTCGCTGATTTAATATGTGTAGTTCGGTGCGTCATCGAAGGTGACTGTGGAACATGATTATGACCCAGTGTATAAGGATTGCCTGCGGAGGTAAGATGCCTTGTTGGAGGCCAAACCTGCTGCGGCTTCAGCAGTCACCACGCTTTTACTTAAAAAAACAAAAACGATTCCAGATCACGATAAGTGTTTCAGAAACAGGCAGCCCATAGTCCGTGCTTCTAAATAACAAAATTGAATGCACTCTCCAAAGGGCTGTTCGCCAGTCAAAAGATATTGAAGTCAGACAGAAATGTCGGCTGGTAAAGCCTTCACGCAAAATTGAAACTAAATCGGTCAAATAAAGACAAAACGCGTTAACTAAATGGTCATAGCAATTTTTTTTACAAGCGAACATTGCAAAACCTACATTGGCGTCGGCGGTGGCTGGAATCCGGCATGATGCCATATCCCAGGGCAGTTGCAACACAGTATCCAGGATGTCACAACGCTAAAAAACGTACCGAAAAGCAAGAAACTCCCTTGAAGCATGGTAGGCTATAGAAAATTTCCTTTAAAAGCAGAGTTGAAAATGGCCTCGGCCTACAGACCTCACAAGTACGTAACTGAGTAGCCAGATTCAGCGCATGAAGGTGACGGTCAACACCTTTGCCAGTCATGGCATGAAGGAGAAGCCACTGGTGTCGACGACAGGCTGTTTTCAGTAATTGAATACACTGGTCACGAGCATCCGAATGATCGGAAAGACCATTTTGTTTGTCCACAGTCTCACAAACACTGAGGGAGAAGTAATGTATGAGTAGGAGCGCACCAAATAGAGACGATAGCGTGCGAAAATAATACAAGGCACAAAGAAACGAGGTTATTTTTGGGGAGGGGCGGAAGCAAAGTCAGACGATACCGTATAAAGTCGACCATTTCGTTTGTCAGGGGTCTCAGGGTTTCTGTTCGTCCTTTGCTGAAAAGGCGGGTTGGCACGGTCTCCGCGGATAGGGCAAATTTGCCAGTGTGAAGGTAGAAAGCGTAGTTGAGGGCGATCTGCACAAAACCATCACAGCTGAGTCCGACAGATTTCACAGTCGATCTTCCGTAAGTGCTCACTTTCAGGACACGGACAGACGACATTTTGGCATTCTAGTATGCATAAAACGAGTCGCGTTAACGTGCAACGTGTTGGAAAAGAAGCCAAACGAGCTGGTTAGAACAAATACAGGTGGTTGTTTGTCTACGCATGGATATGGGGCATCTGAAGAGTTATCGGACATCTTCGATGTGATCATCTTCGGCTTTCAGGAATTGAACGGCTTCCTTGTCTTCACTGGACTCAGAAAACCCAAGTTTATGCGATGGTCATCGCCATCGGAAACGATCGAAAATGAATTTTAAGTAGAAGGTTTGAGACAAATATTAGCAACCATAAGTTTTGGTTGGATAAACCGTTGCATAGAAACGTCTAAAAGAAGAGGGCGTTACACATTATGCGAATATTGTAAAATGCGAAATTATTGTTTGTCAGCATTAAATTTGACCGTAGAATGAACATTTATGACACCATTTTGTGCAAAAGGGATCTCTCTGAACATAATCCTGTAGAAACTTACCAATTTAGCAGTTTTTTCAGCTGAGCCAAAGAGCTTTGATAATTTGTCAGTGTCCCACAAAAGGTGTTCAGGTAACTGAGAGTGAATATCTGTGTCTTGCATTTCAATGGCATTGCCTTCATTGTCATACATATTTGCGTTGCTAAGAGGGAATCAGAAACAAGAATGAAATAAATGCACAGGAAGGAAAAGGTGGAAGCAACGGTATGAAGACCAGGGAATGCATGGGAATGCTAAAGCAGAACGTTGAGCCCCAGAACAGTGTCTGTGAGAGAAATTAATTTTTTTCGAATTAACTAAGGACCAAAAGAAGCGACCAGATCAGACTGAACCCCGGACGTGAAATAGGGATAAAGCTGATTTCGATTTCTTTTATCACGTCAACCCCACCTTCGTGGGGCGGATAGACATTTTGGGAAAGGTAAACGAACAGATAACGAACGGACATGCGAAACACTTGTCAACTGATTTTAACACAAAGCTAGGAAAGTAGAATTCAATACCTACACACAAGTGAAATTTTATTGAAGGCTGGTAATAATAGATGGCTATAAAAAGAAAAAAAGACACTGAAACTAACTCGCCACACTGTAGATAGTCGAGCACAGATGCGAGGATAGTCGGATCTAAAGTAGATTGCTCTGCATGAACCGATAATCGACCGTCCGCGGATACAATAAAGTTCAGTCCTTTGTCAGCCCAGATACGGCCCCGATCACCACTTAATGCGGTGGCCGTTTGCTTGGAAAGGCTTTCAGGAGCAACATCGGTATCGAGAATAAGCTTTTTGATAAAAAAGAAGGACAATTCAAGGAATACACAAAATAATATGTTCCACGAAAAAGAAGGCAAAAGTTGCGTGGGACTCAATCAACACCGAAGGAGCAAATAACTTTCGTCCTCGGTGATGTAAAAAGGAACAGCTACCTGTTTGAACAGTGTCGTGATGAGACTTACGAGGGTCATAAAATCGGAGTTGATAGAATGGAGCTAAAGGACTTATCGATGATATAGTACGACAAAAATACGTTATCAAACTCCAGTTAATGGCAAATAACGTCCGATTAGTCCATTAGATGTCCAGAATGAATAACAGTAAAGCCTCGGGTGACGAGCAGCCCCATATACGAGCATAGCAGCTAAGGAGCGATTCACTAGTAGAAAAATTGTTTCGATTGAGAAGCTCCCGTTTATTTAATGAGTTGGCAGTGTGCTTGGGTCTGCCATTAAGACTTACTTCCAGGGCGTGGGCCACCGGTCGCTTGCAGCCAATCAGTGAACTGGTGCAGTTTGATTGGCTACGTTTTATACGACGAACTTTTCACGTGACGAATTTGGTCCTGGAGCTGATTTAACTCGTTAACTGAGGTTCTACTATGTGTAAGTCAATAAGGAGGTTCTGAGACTATAAAATATAGTCTGCCAAGCGGTAGGCAGAACCAGCCCTTAACGATTATCTTTCTGACTCGTGGCATTAATATATATTCTGGTTAATTTGCATAGTCAAAGACCTTCATTTTAAAGACTCAAACTAGGGAACGTATTACCGCAAATAGACAACAAAAATAAATCTAAATGCCCGGCACAAGGGAGACTCTGAAGTAATACGACTAAAAGAAGTTCAGCGGGACACCTGGATTACTAATTTGATTTCATTTTGTAGATGTGAAGATCTGCAAGGCAGGTTGAAGTGAAGACTTGCGTTAGAGTTCAAGTGAGAGTGAGGGTTTCGGTGAGGAGTACCGTCAAGGTTAGGGCATAAGAATATTTGCGCTTCTACTGGAAAATGTCATCTGTATGAGCGAGAGGGGTATAGTCCCAGTCCTACTTCTTACTAACTCTGCCGCCCTCCATCGTCTGATAGCAACAACAAATCCAATTATTAAGTTGGTTTGGCAGATTTG